ATTCTCATGTGTCGGTGGTATGTTCCGCCATAAATGAGACACCTGTATCACATCCCTTTCCCCAAGGCTTAGGGAATGTTGTGGAAGACAGGGTGGATAGATCATAAGAGTCAGAGGTTTCTGAAGACGGGGGAAACACATTGCGCTTGTGAACTCACAGCAGCTGTGGTTGCCTACACAAGACCTGGACGAGAGCAGTACAGTCAACGCTCCAGTATAGAGTGGAGGGCTCCTGAGCCCGCCACCCCTCCCTGAGCACCGTTGACATTGATGGCTGCCAGGAGAGGGAGAGTCAGTTCTCTTTAGGGGTATACGGTCCCTGGTAGATCGATCATGTTCTAGTGGATGGCCTTACACCCATGTGTATATGGGCGGCACAAATTGAACCCAGTGGTTATTAATAGAAAAGAAAAAAGGGGGAAAAAAAAACCCCATGAAGTTGGGAAGGGGTGGGGGTAGATCTAGAAGTTAGGGAGAAGAACTGGGGAGGCTGAACATGATCAAACTACGTTGTATGTATGCATGGGTGACATTCTTAAAGAATAAAAATTATTGTATTAAAACTGTAATTCTCATAGGGATTGCTTTTGTTCCCCTTGCAGATGCGAATCTGGTTACACTGGCCAGCACTGTGAAAAGACGGACTTTAGTATTCTCTATGTAGTACCGAGTAGGCAGAAGCTCACTCACGTTCTTATCGCAGCCATTATTGGAGCTGTACAGATCGCCATTATAGTAGCAATTGTCATGTGCATAACGAGGTAGGTAATGGCCATAGAGTGTCGGCTTTAAACTATGCACTGCAAGGTGTAAACCAGAGAAAACCCTTAAAACCTATTCACTGGACTAGGGCCCAGTCCATCAGGCACAGTTCTAGTGTCTAGTCCACTGGACAAAATTTCTGTGTGGGTCTGTCTTGCTTCTTTAGAATGTGTGTAGGAACTCATTCCCAGAGTTAGGGACACATCTGGGTTATAGGCAGAGGAGGTGTGAGAACAGTCTGAAATCAAGGAGGCTAGGGATCTAGAAGCTGTGTACTAGGAGCGCTGAATTCAGGGAGTGGTTGTAGCAGAGTTTCTGGAACACGTTCACTGAGGAGCTATGAGCAATGCTTTAAGTCCACAGAGGAGTTTTTATGGTCTGAGAGTATACTTTACCTGTAGTTAGTGTAGTAATGAAGAAAACCATCAACTTTAAAGATAGCCTTCTCTGACTACATCCTGATTACAGCGGTAAGTAAAAGGCTTTCAAATGCTGTGTTAAAAATAAAAGCACAGGGGCCAGCAAGATGGCTTTTGGGGAAAGGCGCTTGCCCCCAAGCCTGACAGTCTGAGTTTGGTCTCTAGGATCCACATGGTGGAAGGAGAGAACCAACTCCTCAAAGTTGTCCTCTGATCTACACGCACGCACGCACGCACGCACGCACGCACGCACGCACGCACACGCACGCACACACGCACGCACACAAAGTAAATGGGAAAAAAAAGCATTTATTATATGTTAAAAGACTTATTTGCAGCTCAGTTGACAGTAAATGGGTGTTTCTCAAACTGAGTAGAAAGTTTTAAAGTTCCAGGAAACTGGAACTTTAAAACTGCCAGAGCAGAGTGCCCTGCCCTTCCCCATCCCCTGTCTTACCTTCTTCTTCCTCACCTCTTCCCACCTCCTTTAAGTTTTGGTTCTCATGTTCCATGAGCATTATCTTTGTGTTCTCCTTCCTCCATGGGGGACAGAGAGTCATAGCATATCAAGTCGATATTGATAAGCTGATTGGATGTATAGGCCTTCCTTCTCTCCAGGGCCTGGAAAAAGACCTTCAAGTAGTCCCAGCACCCTGGAACCAAAATAATACATCTAGAAATGATGGAAAAACGTTCTCCGAGTAGCTGATATTTTTCATGAAGTTGCGGCACTAAAGTCAGCATGCTTTATTCCACAGAACAGATGATCTGCCTTTAGGCAAGACTACCGAGCATAAAATTGGGCAGCAGATCAGAGAAGGGACATAATGGTGTAACAAACAGTGACAACAGGAAAGGAAGATGGGGGAAAGCCTTTAACAGCCTAGCCAGCTGTGGCCATTTAAAACAGGCTCAGAGGTTAACCGCTCTGCCTGTGGCCATTCAGCCAGCGAAGGGAAGTGCCTGGGTTTGGAGTCAGTGCTGCGTGATCCTTCGGTCATTCCTCTTTCGACTGAACCATCTAGAAACAGGGCCGTGCTGAGTCCTGTTGGGAATAATAGGTCAGCCAGATATGACTGCTGCGTGGGGACAGGAACCAAATTTGCTTTTGTCGAGGTTTAGTGTGTTTGAACCATATTAAAGGTCATTTGCAGAATTGATTGGACTAGGGAAGATGTGTGATTGGGGAGACCATGTAGCACTTCAGTAGAGGAACGTACAGTGTGACAAGGAGAAGAGAAACACTGTCCTGACATTTGTTCCACATTAGGGCTACATGTACTGCACTGTAAGGATCACAGCCTTTCCCCACCCTGCTCCCGAATGGCTTGCTGTCTTATATGTGGAATATTGTGATTACGTTCTTGGACCACACCATTGAATTTTTGAGGCACGCCTCTCCCATGTAGTCCATTAGGGAACAGCTGTTCGTCCACAATGGCTGTTGCTTGTGAGGAATCTTCCTTTAAATGGATGTTCCTACTGGCCCACTTTTCTGTGAGTTGTGTTTTCTTCTTTTATGCTTGGAATCTTCTTTTGTGTTTTCAGACTCCTAGAATGACAGATTGGCAGGGACTTTGAACATGTCTCAGCCAAATCCTTTACTGTATAGAAGAAAAAAAATCCTTGGTCCCCGGAACCTGGAACTCCTCCCGTTCATGGTGGGTTAGTGGCAGTTAAAGCTGGTCGCTTGGCCTGTCAGCCAGCTCCTTCATTTATGAAATGGATATGATCCCAGCCCTGTCTACATCAGGCTATTTTTATAAGGATTAGTGAGAGAAAATCCTTTGAAAACCACCAGAAACGTTGTCATTAAGGCTTTTAAGTTAAGGCAAAGCAATCCTCTTTGAAATAGAATAAAAACATGGAACATTAGAGCAAACAAACTCATTCCAAGACGCTGTTTCCACTAAGGGGCATTGACTTGGCGCAGGTGGCCACTAGTAATAATAGGCAGTTACCACTCCTACCGGTAGGATCCACACTCAAAGCCACCCACAATCATTTCGGTGCCTTTACACTCATCATCACATTCTCTTGTCCGGAATTTGTTCCCTGTTAGGGCCACATGTACTGTAATAGAAGAGCAGAGTCCAGGAATCTCACTTGCGGGGTCCCAGTTTCCAGTGCGCTTCTGTGGCATGCTGCAACTGGGTGTACACCAGCTCCTTTTGAGTCGTTTTCTTGAGTTAGAGGACTTCAGTGCATCCTGACTGAGATCATCAGCTACGCGTTCCTTGTTGTTCTGGTGCTCAGGGAAAGTGGCCAGGTCGGCATCTTTTGTACCGTCACAGTGATCCGTCACCGGAACTCAGCAGCTGCCGGGCCAGAGAGGCAGGCGTCCTTCTCAGAAATGTGTATCAGCAGTGTGGGCACTGTCCTCATTCACGAGTGTGATCCCTCCCAAATCCCAGCTATTTAGCAAAGAACAAACAGCCATTATGTCTGTCCTCATCTAGCCTGGAACTAAACAGTGTCTTGTTTCGTCTCCTGACAGGGTGCAGTGTGTGAACTGTGTGTTACTTTGACATAGTTTAAACATCTTTAACTAAATGATTGTTTTTCCCCTTCTGTATTTTCATGCAACAGAAAATGCCCCAAGAACAACAGAGGACGTCGACAGAAGCAAAACCTAGGTCATTTTACTTCAGACACTTCATCCAGAATGGTTTGAACTGCATAAAAGGCTTTTGTATGCACACTGACCATGTGATGTACATTTATTATGTCTTTTTTTAAAGAATGGAAATATTTATTTCAGAGGCCTTATTTTTGGACATTTTTAGTGTAGTACTGTTGGCTCGTATTTAGAATATTTAGCTACAGCAGTTTTTGGACTGTTTAGTAGTCTCTGTTTTATGTTTTTAAATACAGAAATTGATTTCATGAATTTGTACCACATGGTAATACTAGGAATTGTTCTTTACCCATGGAATGTAATATTTTTGCAGAGATGGATGGACCCACATCACAGCGGCCATAAAGTCAAACTTCTTTCCCAATGACCACAGCAAATGGCAGAGCATGAACTAAAAGTAAAGATGTTTACAGATTACTTTTCTTACAAAAAGAAATCTAGAAGACACTGTGTTTAAATAGCTATTTAACTGTTTTTGAGATTTAGTACCTGATTTTTTTAGACACTGCCCCTACTGCATGAGCTGCAAAGCTGTGTGTGTTAGATGTAACATATTTATAAGCTGTACGGACTGCAATTGACAGTTTCTCTCTTTGAAGATATAATTCTAATAATTTGAAAAGATATCTGAGAATTAATGATTGAACAGATCATTGAAAATAGATTTAGATATTGTCAAGATAGCCTGTTTAATGAACAGATTGGAATAAAACCTACATATCAGTTAAACTACTTTAATATACATTCATTTTTAAACATGATATTTGTTTTAATATGAATATACAAATTGTATCAGTGTTTGTGAATACAATGCAGAAATAATTGTTAATGATTGGTGCTCTGAAAGTGAGCTTAAAAATGACCTAAGACCTCTAACTCAAATTTGTCCTGTAGTAGCTCTATTAATAGATTGTTGGTGTTTAAAGGTCTAAAATGTGAGTAGAATGTATCAGTGTTTAACGTGTAGTTTAGCTAGTCAAAATTATGCATGTAGAATTTAAAGACTATGTTCAAACTTAAATATTGATTTTAATAATTTGATTTGGAAAAGCATGTTATAATATAATGTTTTCACTATATGGTCTGTTTTGTGTGTTTATTTATTGTAGTCTTTGGTACTGGTCTATTAGTACTTGTAATAGGTGAAATTAACAGGAAGGGAAGATTGCAGTTCAAAATTTCTCTTTGCTTATACAAACTATTGCTTGAAATGATCCAAAGAGAAAATCTTTGCTCAGTGTTTGGAGCTACTTGGCTTGTGGGCTTAGTATGAGTAGCACCGTGGCTCTAGTGAACTTCTTCAGGGGTTTCCGCCCACACAGGCTTATTTGAGGCCCTTAGTCAGTCGGCAAGCATGTTTGGAACTGACCCCGGTGCTTTTGCAAGGGCTCATGTTGCAGGGCAGTCACGGATGGGCATTTGTCGTTATAAATACTTGACCACTCTCCAGGGTGCGGTTCTCAGCCCTTTAAAGCGGCTTCGTTGCCTGCCACCAAGCCGACTTTTGGCTTCGAGTGTAGAATTGATTGCTATAGGACATCTTTTGCCGAGAACGAAGTAAAATGGAACACAATGGGTCTGCTTCAAATGCTGGTAAAGCCCACCAGAATCGATTGTCAAGTGTGACTGAAGACGAAGACCAGGATGCTGCTCTTACAATTGTGACTGTCCTGGACAAGGTGGCCACCATCGTGGACAGTGTACAGGCCAGCCAGAAGAGAATAGAGGAGAGACACAGGGAGATGGAGAACGCTATCAAGTCTGTCCAGATCGACCTGCTGAAGCTCTCACAGGCACACAGCAACACGGGCTACCTCGTGAACAAGCTGTTTGAGAAGACCCGCAAAGTCAGCGCTCACATTAAAGATGTGAAGGCCCGGGTGGAGAAGCAACGGGTTCATGTAACCAAGGTCGAAACCAAGCAAGAAGAAATAATGAAGAAGAACAAATTCCGTGTGGTAATATTCCAGGTAAGCTTGCATTTGTGTTCGTTCAGCTTGGTGAGTAGAATCTCTCTCTCTCATCCTTTGTCATCAAGTCACAGAGGTTTCCAGAGTCGCGTCTCAGCCGTGGTCTATGGTACGTACTGGAGCTCGCTGAGGAGCTGTGTCAGGAGAAAGCCATTTCTGGCTAACCGACACTCTGTCATCCATGTCCCGAGCTTCTTGCTGGTCATGTGATATGAACTCTGGCTTGTGGCTCAAGCTGTTTTTTTGCCTTTGAAACTTAATGCTGTCAGTTTTTTTTCAGCATTTGAGTCCATTAAGCACAGTGACCCAGTAGACTTTAGAATGCTGGAACTAAAAGGGTCCTAAGAAATCTCAAGTTTAAAAGCGGTCTTTGTTACATAAAAGAAGGAACTGGGAAGGGTGGAGGATGTAGTTCAGTAGTAGAATACTCACCCACATGGCTGAGGCTTGAGTTTGATACATAGCATCCCCCTAAAAGAAAACAGATTAGGAACCGGCACCCACACAGTCATGGTTTTATTCTCATTGTAGAGAGCCTAGAAACCCAAAAACCTCTCTGAACATAATTTGCCCATTGGAATTTTATTTTTGCATTAGTCACAATAAGAAAAGTTACCTGTTTCTGAATGAAAAATTAGGCCATTTATTTATTTTTAAAGTTTGTACTATTTTTTAAGACAGTCCAGCCTGTAGCCCATGCTGACCTAATCCTCATTAGGCAAGCCTCAAACTATGACAATCCTCTTGCCTCAGCCTCTCAAGTGCTGGGGTTACAGACATGAGCCACCACTCCAGCTTGTTTTATTTTTAAAACACTGTTCTTACAGTAATACAGATATAGAAGTCCCACAGGTAATTTTTTACTCAAATGAAAAGCTCTTTTACTTAGCTGATTTAATAGAGTGATTATGTGCATTGTTGCATTTTTTTTTTTTTGCGAAGTTCCTATAATACTCAATACTTTAAATGCTCAATACTTTAAAAATTGAAACATACCCATGGCAAATACATAACGTCTCCAGTATATTTTTTAAATTCTTGCAAATCAAAAGGGACAAGCTAAACTCTTTTCTCCCACATTAAAAAAGAATAACGATGAGAGAAAAAAATTTGAACTACAAAGTAAATGAGAACAGAACTCTTCTCTCACCCATCTAAACAGTGGCCATTACAGAACTGTAAATCCAGAGTGCAAACATTAGAGAACAGCCTTCCCTGTCCTGTTATTGGGAGAATTAGCTGGCACGACATTTTGGAAGACATTTTTGATAGTGTTTATTGAAACTTTAAAAATTCCCAAGTCTCCTGGCCCCCAAATTTCATGTCGGAGAATTTGTTCTAAGCGTGAGATCATTAATGTGTGGGAATGTTCATTAGTGCATGTGCACAACTCTGTGCTTTTAAAAGTGGAAGTCCGTGTGCACAGAACCCAGAAGAATAAAGGACACAGTCAGTGGAAGCACCACCAGGGCCCATAACCTTCACGTTCTCCGTGCATTAGTCAGTGCCCCAGAGCTCTCTGCTGAGTGGTCAAGTTACACTGGGAAGGGAGAGTGCTAGGTTGGGATCTGTTTCCAAGAGTTCACAGGTTATTGAGGAAAAATAGGGAGAAGAGAGAGGATTTATTTCAAAGAAGAATGGACTGGTGTCCTTTCCTATCCTCCTTCCAGGCTCTGGGAAGCCTCTCTGGGCTTAATAATGTCGCCTGGCTTCAGTTGTAGATGCATACAGTGGTGATCTGGACATGGGACTGCAGAATAAGTCCATTCACCTTGCAGCGGCGTTAGCCATAGCCTGGGTGCTCATCCTTCACTCACGTGTGTTATGTCAGGAAGTACACTTGGAGTCCTGTGTGTCTGGGTACCTAAAGCAAAGCAGTGGACCGGTTTCTCACAAGATGGACAGAAGCTACAAGGAAAAATTCCACTTGGTCCCGTCTATTGACATACTTCTCTCTCTGACTCCATTTAAAAGCTGTTTTTTATTTGTCTCTATTCAGTGTAACTTACTGGTATTTTCTCTGTCTTTGGATCCTATAGTTCCATAAAGGAACTGAGAGGTCCCAGTTAGTGACAAACCTCTTTTCTTTTAAGATAGAATATTTTGAAGAATCTGTGAAATTTGGTTGTTCAAATTATGCAAGAGTTTGTCAGAAAAAAACAATTGCTATCTTTTATAAGCATACAGGGAAAACATGAATTCTAATATTATGGACATAGGACTCAGATTCATGTACTTGTTATATGTTAGAATTTACATTTATGATATTTGCATGGCTATTTTTAGGTGTTAAAATTAGCTATAATCAATTCTCATAGTTATTTGAAGATTTTTCCCTTCTAAAATTATTTTGAAACTTAAGCTAGTCAGCTAAAGTATATCTTCATTTCCATTTGAGATTTTCCTTAAGCTTCCCCTAGGCATATCTTTTGTTGATAATCTTTTTTTTAATAGTAACAAGGGATAAAAATAAAAACAGTATCAGATAAACAAAATATTGGTATCCTATCTTCTGCAGTTGTATATGGCTAAGCTTTTGCCAAATTCTGGATGTTGGCATTTAAATATCATGTGACATTCTTACCCGGGTGGTTTCTCTTTGAATGCGTGTTCACCCTGTTGACCCCTCTCATTGTGCATGGCATGAACCACAGCATATCTTCTCATATTTCCAGTTACTTGGTAAGCACAAGTCTGTGGTCACCAAAGTAAGTTTTGAACATCCTCTAATTACAAGTACCAGAGCTCTGTGCATCCAATATGTCCCTATCTGTGTTACTTTCATATTAATTCAGTTCCACTTTACTCTGACCCACAGTATTCATTCTGTTACAAAAATGATCCTTCAAACTAGGTGTGGTGGTGCACACCTATATATAGTCCTTGCACTTGCGAGGTAGAGGCAGGAGGATTGGGATTTCAAATACACAGTGAGTTTGAGGCATGCCTGAGCTATGTGAGACCCTGTCTCAAAAACAACAAAAAGCTAATTTGACCTGGATTTTCATATACAAATGTGATTGTATTCTGAAGTCAACTATAATTTCCCCCACAACCTTCCATTATTAGTACAGTGTGTTTGCCCTTAACCTACAGTAGCAAGAACTCATGGGGATTTTTGAGGCAAGGTCTTTTTCTAGTCTTGCCTCTGTTCCCCTTTGTTTTTAAGCCTGCTTTTGCACTGTCTGCTGTGTTTGAAGAGAAGGGTGTGTGATTCCTGTTTCCCCGTGTCTGGTGCTTTCACTGCAAGATTGTGGGGATTTCTACCTACCAAGCAGTACCCTTTGGCTCTTCCCTTGTCTAATTATACCTTCTCAGGCTCGCTCAGCCCACACTGTTGCTGAGGCTGCTCCCCACAGCAGGTGCCAGGAAGGGAGAGGAGTAACTTCACTGCCTTTAACTGATTGATTCATCGGAGAGTTATGAGACGCCCGCCCACTTCTGCCTCTTTTGTTGGGAAGAGGGAGGCTCATGGGCACTCTGATCCTGTAGCCAAAAATGTAATTTCAATTAAGGAATAAGATTCTAAGGATGCCTTCCTGACTATCAGGCTGGTTATATTTTAGGATATTTGCAAACATCCTCTTTGTATATTTATTGAATCTGCTTGTTGAATGGAATCAACCTGGATCTCAAGTATCAATACCATTTTGGTTTTGTGTTTGTTTGTTTTTTGTTTTTAAAGACATTGTCACTCATGGGCCAGTTTTTAACAATCTCAATTCCCACAGTGTTGTCTGCTGTGTTTTAGAAATGATCTCTAAATAGCACTCCAGGTTCCTTTCACCTGCGCCCTGCCTGTGCTGGTCTGTGTCTAGCTGGTTCTCTTCCGACAGGCTTGGCAGAGTTGGTTTTTCTCTTCAACTGCTTTGCCCTCGGCCTCTGGGGTCCTGCTCTCCTGGCTTTCTGTCCTCTTCACTGCCTGATGTTTTCCCTTTTTTCTTTCCTTTCTCGTGTGTAGGTTCAAAAATCCCCAAACATTCTAAACTCAAAATCTAAAGACTCCTTCCTTTCCTCCCTCCCTCCCTCCTTCCCTCCCTCCCTTCCAACAGGGTTTTACTGTATAGTGCAGGCTGGTATTGAACTTGTGATCCTCCTGCCTCAGCCTCCCGAGAACTGGGGGTATAGTCATTTACCACCATGGCAGCAAAATAAAACTTTTAAAATGACTCATTTGGCAGGAGACTTCGCTTGACCTGAAGTCATTCCAGGAATAGTATATTATCTATCGTGGTTTTCAAAAGTCAATTGAATTCTGAATTTCGGGGTACCCTTTGTCTCTGAGGAGTTTTGAATGAAACACCACTCTGTCTTCTGTTATTTCTTCTAATTTCTTGACTTTGACTTTGGGGTGTGTGTGTGTGTAATATGCGTGTAAGTGTGAGCACAAGTGTGCTATAGTATGTGTATGGAATCTAGAGGACAACTTTTGGGAACTGATTTTCTCCTTCCATAGGATCTGTAGCAGGAATCTTAACAGTTCTTATTAATAAAATCAAACCTGAGGGCAGTTATTGGGGTGAATACTGGAAGATCAGAGAGACAGAACAAGCCACAGCTAACCTCACCTGGCCAACTTCTCAGCTGATCTCATTTCCTCAGACTGGAAACCTCTGTGTCCTCATATCTGAATGGCTCTCAGCTGAACTGTCCTGCTCAAAACCTAAAAGCTTAACCAGCCAAATGCTTCTATTTTCTGGTCTTCGCGCCTTATAGATCTTTCCTTTCTTCCACCACTCCCTGGGATTAAAGGCTCGCTTTCTGGGATTAAAGGCGTGATGAGTCACCATGCTTGGCTGTATCCTTGAACACATGGAGTTTTGCCTCTGGAATGCTAGGATTAAAGGCATGTGCTACCACTGCCTATCCTTTATGTTTAATATTGTGGCTGCTCTGTCTCTGACCCCAGGTAAGTTTATTAGGGTGCACAGTATTTTGGGGAACACAACACCACCACAAGGATCTGAACTCAGGCCATCAGGTTTGCTTGGCGTACTTTTGACCTCCTGAGCCCAAACACTTCTGTGTCTTGCTTTTTCACAAGGAGTTTGGGGGTTGAACTTAGGTTCTCACATGTGGCAAACACTTCACCAACTGAGATCTCTCTAGTGCGAGAGTGTCATGACTCAATTTCATCGCTGGATTAATGGTTCTTGAACGCACGTTTCTGGCCCTCACCTCCCTCCTGGATCCCAGTTGCTCAGCCTCTCTGCCTGCATACCCAGTGCCCATTCCAAAGACAGTGCCTCACCCTTCCCTTCCGGGTTCCTCCTCTTGCTTCCGTGCCTGTCTCAGCTAATGGTGGGTCCCTCCCTCTGTGGATCTAGCAACAGGTCCTCTGGTTTCTGAGTACATCTGCAGTCAGAAGACTTCTCACCCCCACCCCTGCCCACAAACGCCCTCCCTGACTACCTTCCCTTTGCTTAGACTTGGTAGTTTCTTCCTGCCATTCTTCTTGCTTGTCTCGCCCTTGTGGCTTACTTTCAGCAGGGTGACCCTTGTACAGCATGGGTCAAATCCTGCCTCTGCTGTCCTTAAAACCGTGAGAAGTTTTCCTGTCAGAGTAGTAACTACTGTCCTCACTATTGGCCACAGGGCCTCTCTTGACTTGGCCTTCTTAACTCTCTCCTTGCGGGTAGTTGGGACATTTTCTTTTCTTTTCTTTTCTGGCCACGGGGCCTCTCTTGACTTGGCCTTCTTAACTCTCTCCTTGCGGGTAGTTGGGACATTTGAATTGATTCTTGAGGAACACTATCATTTGTAAAGCTGAAAAAGGTGAAGAGGTATGAGAGACAGAAGCAGCCACATACACGAAGGCGTGGAGGGTGAGTGTCTGTTTGACACTGAGATATGACATTGCTATCTGCAAATGCGTTGGGCGACATCCATAGTTATCCTGGGATTTACGTCCAGGGTGGCGTAGGATGGACTCCTCTTGTGTAGAGGGTTCAAAATTGTATGTGTTTGAGGATCTTAGGAATGGTGTGCATTTCTGAGCTGGAGAAGAGGGAGAGGAGGGTCAGGTCAGGAACTTTCTAAGCATCCCGCAAGGTTTGGGTTCTCTCCTTGAGCACTGACGGTCTCTTAGAAGTCTTCAGTGGGCTATAATCAGACCGTGCTATAAAAACAGTTCTCAGGAACTTCTCAGATAATGGTCTGGAAGGAGAGGGATTGGGGGAGATTGATGGCCCAGGTTCAGACCTGGGGTCTTGAGGGACTGAAGTAAGACATGGGTGGAGGAGTGAGAAGTAAACATTATTTTGCAGTGTTACTCATAGAACTTGGTGAGTTCTTGACCATGGGACAAGAGGGTGAGGGTGTGTCTGGGGGTGACGTTTCTGAGGTCTCTGCCTTGGGTGGCACCCAGGGGGTCACTGCTGCTGAGAGAGAGGGAAGGAAACGCAAGTGGAGAGCGCAGTGGGTGGGCCTGGAGGTTTGCACCTCTGACTAAAGGTGCCTGTGCTATGTATGCAGCTTGGGGACAAACAGCATGGAGGAGGGTTGTGAGGTGTGGCCCGAGGTAAAAGCTGACGCCCCCGTGCAGGAAGCACTCACGTGATTTGCTCTTCTGTCCTGCAGGAGAATGTTCGGTGCCCCTCGTCCCTGTCTGTTGTTAAAGACAGAAGCCTGCCCGAGAACCAGGAGGAGGAGGAGGAAGTCTTTGATCCCCCGATAGAGCTCTCGTCGGATGAAGAATATTACGTTGAAGAAAGCAGATCTGCCAGGTTTAGAAAGTCAGGCAAGGAGCACATTGATCATATCAAGAAGGCGTTTTCCAAAGAAAACATGCAGAAGACACGGCAGAATTTTGACAAGAAAGTGAGTGGAATTAGAACGAGAATAGTCACGCCTGAGAGGAGAGAGAGGCTCCGGCAGTCGGGGGAGAGGCTCCGGCAGTCGGGGGAGAGGCTCCGGCAGTCCGGAGAGAGGTTTAAGAAATCGATTTCAAATGCAGCCCCCTCAAAGGAAGCTTTTAAGATGCGCAGCCTTAGGAAACCGAAGGATCCCAAGGCCGAGGGCCAGGAGGGAGACAGAGGGATGGGCGTGGACATCATCGCAGGCAGCCTGGCTCTGGGGCCCATCCATGAGTTCCATCCTGATGAGTTCAGTGAGACAGAAAAGGAGGTGGCCAAGGTAGGGTACATTCCCCAAGAAGGAGGGGACGCCCCGACTCCCGAGCCTTTGAAGGTGACTTTTAAGCCTCAGGTGAGAGTGGAGGACGATGAGTCCCTCCTGTTGGATTTAAAGCAGTCCTCGTGAGAGGAACTAAGTGTGAGCGTCAGTCTCACGTCACGTGGTCACAGTTTGAGTAGTGCAGTCATTTTTAGTCACCATAGAAGGCGAATGGTACAAAAGCTTCATTTCTTACCTTTAAAATTCTAAAGATTATAGAAATATTGTATACAACTTTCTTGTAAGTTCCTTGGGGATCCTGTTTCCCCTGAGAATATATGACTGACAGCTTTTTTTTTTTTTTTTCCTAGTGTCACGCTTTTTTTGTGGCAGCTCTTGGCCAATTCGAAAGTAGTTGTATGGCGTAGGTCAGTTAGGTGCTTGGTCATCTGTAACACAGGAGGGACAAGTCCATGCCCATGGTTCACCAGCAAACTGTAGGATTTGGGTCAGGATTAACAAGTCCAGTCTCAAAGGGGAGTAGCTAATGAGTGTATTGTGTTATCCAGATGTTCACATCTGGAGATTCATTAGTGAATCAGTAGCCATACCCCTTATGAAGCTCTTTTGTGAGGGGGAAAAAAATGAAGTTTTGGGCTTGAGCATTTAGCTGTGGTATCCTAACTTCCTTACTGGTGAGACTCGGCCGGTTGCCATCTATTTCCAATGACAGAAATGGCGAGGGCTTGCTGGCCCTGCACCTCTCAGAGGACTTGAGATCTGAGGGGATGTCACAGAGTGTGTGAGAACAAGACACAGATCCAGTGAAGAGGCACAAACCACACCGGTGCTTCCAAACCAGAACTTAATATTACATCTGTGAAGAAGCCCTTGGTACCAGGCACTGGGCCCTGAATTGAGCAGAAACCGAAGATGTGCTTTGCAAGTCTTTTCATAGCCTGAAGAGTGAAAAATACATGCTTGGATAAGCGCTTTTTCTTAAAGGCTGAAACCAACCTTGGATTGTTAGCTGGGTCCCAACATATTCCCTGGAAATGTGTCTCTAATTGCCTTTAGATTTGGATGTGGGGTAGACTAGTGTGGGTTTGTGTGCAGAGCATGAGGCGGAAGTCTGGGGCTGGGCTGTGAAGTGGCTTTTTTAAGGTCTGCCCCGATGTGGGTGTAGAAATGATTCCCAATACTCCTGTTTTCCAGAGTGAACCCTTTAGGGCAAACAGTGCCACTTTGGAGGACATCAGATTCCAGTTAGCTCTTAGGTTTAGATCTGTGAGGTCAAGAAGTACATACTGCTGCTGAGGGAAAATCACAGTCTGCACTTCCGGCACACTGGAATCTTTGGATCGTTTTTGGATATGGAAGAGATGGTAGAATTTTTGATAAAGTGTTTTACTCACATTCAGTTTAATGTTGAATAATCACCTAGCAGTTAAAAATATGCAGGCATGGGAGTGTGTGCCTGCTGCCCCAGCACTGACAAGGCTGAGACAGGAGGATCACGAATGAAGTTGAGTGAGCCTGGATTTCTTTTTCTTTCTTTTCTTTTCTTTTCTTTTCTTTTCTTTTCTTTTCTTTTTTTTTGAGGCAGGGTTTCGCTGTATAGCCTTGGCTGTCCTGGAACTCACTCTGTAGACCAGGCTGGCTTTAAACTCAAAGATCTGCCTGCCTGCCTCCACCTCCTGAGTCCTTGTGCCACCACTGCCAGGCATCGTGGTATCTTTTTATATTATAAACTAAAGCATGTACAGCACTGAATAAAACTTTGAAAGAATAATCCCAAAAAATTTTTATAATAGCTTAGAAGGAGGTTGGACGCCCAACAATAAATTTGGATGTGAAATGATGTTATTACAATGTGAGGCTGGTGTTGTGGTTGTAAATCTTTTAACCAACGATGAATGGAAACAGCAATATGCAAATGAAGGGTGATGTAGTAAACCGAGGGTAGGAGGATTATAGAGAAGTTACAGTTGTTTGTTTCAGTTGGGCTAAAATGTTTTTCTGCAGAATCTGGGGCTTTTGTTCACTGACTCAGATCCAGACATCTTGTAAAGCATTGCACCTGAAGCGCTGGTCATCTTATCTTGCTAGGGTTTGTGTGACACCAGAAACATTGAATGCTTCATGTTGCTGGAGGCTCATTGTAATCCTGTGCTTCATTTTCGCTACCAGGATTTTCCCTCCGTGTCATAAAAAAGGGTCAATGTCTTTCCATGTTTAGGACATTCCTAAATTCCACATCCAAAGATAATGGACTGCAAAATCCACACATTCATTTAACATAAGGAGTTTCCTAGTCAGTGTTCATTATTTTAAACGTTTTTTCAGAAACACCGAGTTATTTACTCATCTGTGATGCAGAGTTAAACGTATCAGGCTTTAAATAATGTATTCAAGTCAAACCCTTAGCAGGACTTACCACCCTTCTCCTAATGAGACAGAGCAGAACAGCGGCCTCAGATGCCAGGGTGTGGGAGCTGGTGTTCGAGGCTCTTCCAGGGGTGATGGGAAGTGCAAGCCTGTCTCCTGCCTGTGGTGATCCAGGGGTCCCCAGTGAGTAGTGGTGTGACTCCTGCTTACAGGTTAGAGGAATCACTGAGGAAGAATATTAGCATGCATGGGCATTCAGCTTGCCGAGAGTGGGTGTGTTCCCCCAAAGCAAGCTTTCATGAATGAAAAATAGAAGCCAAAGTAAAAATACAACCATTTTGACTTCATTCTTTGCCTTTTGTACGAATTAAAGGAGTTGCTTTGGAACAGGTCTAGTGGTCATGGTGATTTTTATTTTTAATTTAAGATTTCTTTCTTCATGTCTCTGTGTGAGTGTATTCTGTGTGTGTGTGTGTGTGTGTGTGTGTGTGTGTGTGTGTGTGTGTGTGTGTAGGCCAGAAGAGGCCATCAGGTGTCCTACAGTCACCTGTTCTTTGGAGGCAAGCTCTCTCCCTGAAGGTAGTGTTCCCCCTTCCTCATCTAGGCAAGAAGATAGCAAGTTCCAGCGACCTTCCTTTCTCTGCTCACCTTTTACAGGTGAGCTGCTTTTGTGAGTGCTGGGATTCGAACTCACAGTCACAGAGCAAGTCCTCATAGCTGCTGAGCCATCTCCAGCTCCTCATTGTGGTTCTTATCTGCTGACAGTCATGGGCCATGTTATGCACAGATTTCCTCAGAACCATGCTAACAGTGCGTTTTGATTCAGTGGATCCCTGGACCCCTTTTACTTTTATTCTGGGACAGGTTTTCCGTGGCTTCTGGTCTTGAACTCTAGTAAGAAAATGTAGTTTCTGATGCCCAGATAAGGGGAAGGGTCATCGTATTTTCATCTTCAGTTCTTTCACTCCGGCGTGCCCATGCCAGGCCTGCCACGAAGGAGCTTCCTGCTAAGTTTTGAGTCGTTCTTGGGACCCCTTTGAAGGAGGTGATGCCCCAGTATTTACAGTTGCCCCTCCCAGATCAGGATCAGGTAGTGATCGGCGGCGGCGGCGGCGGCGGCGACAGCGGCGGCGGCGATGGCGATGATGATCTAGACTAGCTGCTGCCTTGTGCGAGTCTCACTGCTGCCGGCCTTCCTTCCCACTATGCTGCCCTCCCTTCCGCACACCCATGCCCTTGAGAAGTTGAACAGCATTGAGGGCTGAAATCCACCGTCTGCTCTCCATTCTATTCTTTGTTCGAGGCCAGAGTTCTGCTTGCTTCTCGTGTCCTGATTCTTAACGCGGTGGCTTTCTCCTTGTGTATTGTTTGACACCTGACAGTTCCAGCTAAAGCAGAGCTTTGTTCCATTGAGACTGGAATAAAAGCTGCTGTAACCTGCTACACAGGCCAAGGCCGGGTGCCCAGGCATGTGGTTTTCAGATCAGCCTTGGTTTGCACAAACGCCTCATTTCACCGTGATCTTTTGGTGCTTGTCACCTTGGATCTAAATAAGCATAATACATCAGAATGTATTAGGGTTTTAAGATGCATTTGTACAACGTATTCTTCCCCTTCCAAGTTCTCGCTGATGGAAACGCCATATGAGCTTTTTGCAGCCAATTGGAGACCAAAGTGGGATCTTTACTGCATCATTTGCATGTGTGCAGGAAATCTCCCAAATGTCGGGCATGCCACTGACAAATTCTTTTGGTAAAGGTAGCGTGTGGCTATGACAGGAGATAGGCCTTTGTGTCTCATTGGGAAACAGCATGCTTTAGTGTGACAGCAGCAAAAAAAAAAAAACTAGATTTGGAACAGGACGTTCCGTTTCATCAGTTGGCAGTGAGACCTACAGGTCTGGCACTCAAAGCCATTAAGAGTGGCTGGAATGGAAAACTTCCTATCTGAGGCTCACCCCAGCCCTGCCAGGAGGTGGGGAGGCTGGAACTAGGCACAGAATCCACTACATATGAAAGTAGGGTTCAGCTTGAAGGTACAGACTGCTTTGTTTTCGGGTCCTAATATGCAGAGCTAAAAATGTAGCCCGTGGGGCTAGAGAGATGACTCGGTGGGTAAGAGCTGTGCTGCTCTTACAGCGTTTGGTTCCCAGCACCCACAGTGTGGCTCAGAGCCAACCCAAACTCCAGATCCAGTACCCACTTCTGAACTCCGTAGGCACCGAGTGTAGGCACATGTTTGACAAACACATAGGCAAGACACACACATAGAAAAATAGGTTTTAACATAACGCAATGGGCTTGGCTGTTACTCCTTACCGAGGCCTGTTTTGGACACACTGAACTGAAGATGTGCACGTTTTTTAGGAGAGTGATAGTATCTCATGTATACCAAACTAGCCTCAGACTTGTTATGTATGTAGCCAAGAATGACCTTGAACCTTTGATCTTCCTGCTTCCATCTAGGCCCTCATACATGCTCGGCAAGCGCTATTCCAACCAAGTTGAAGACCCAGTCTGATGTACTTCTTAAAATATAGATAGATGAAGTGCGGTGTTTTCATAAGAAAATTCTGACAGTTTGTAAGGAGGGGTTTTCATAGCTGACAGAATCCCAAACTGAGCTCTTCTTCTGGGAAAATCGTCTGGTTACTCTTCATCATCATTGATTAGGAAGGGCAAGGAGTCCAGACCCTGGTTCCTCAGCTCCTTCTCCCAAACTCAACTTCAAGAGGAGCCTGGCATATGACAATAAGTGTCAGAGCAGATAGGGCTTCCTGGGTTCACAAAGGTGTTACTCTTGGCTGGTTTGCACACTGTGTCATAGTATAAAACAGCCAAATTCCTAGTGATCTTGTGGGCCAATAATCATCATTTATTAGGATCCCATTAGACCTTTCATCAGAGCAAGCTTTGAATTGTCAAGTTGTGGTTATATAGATACATCATTTTAGGGTAAAATAAAATGCATTAAAATGGGTGGCTACTTTGTGTTAGCACTTTTGAAGTAGCTACATTTATTTG